CAGCAGTGCAGGAGAGTTCCTTTTTCTCCACATCCTCACCAACATTTGTTGTTGCTAGTTGTTTGAAGATGTGTCTGTGTGCACTTTTAACATCCTCTTCTGCAGTGCTTCAACAACTTTGCCACTACTTCATTTACAAAAGCACCTGTTCTTCATTACACTATTTTAACCCCTCACATCTGATTTCAACCTCACCTCTGCAAAGGCCCTGTGAGATGGGGTAGTATCCTGTGAATGATGAAGTAAGGTTAACTAATCTCCACCTGCTCTGAGGCAGAGCTAGGCTTGCAGCACTGTACCCCACATGTTCATGTGCTGGCCTGACACCCCCAGAGACTGTGGGTCCAGGCTGCTCAGTTCCAGCCCCCTCCAAGTAGGCACTCAGTGAGAACCAAAGTCCTTGGCAGAGTAAAAGAATCATTTACTGGGAGCCAGGGGCTGCGCAAACACAACCATAACCTTCCCCACAACGCAATTTGAACAGGAAGGAGGCATAACAGTTGACATATAGTCGGGCTTCTGGGGCTTCCTTCCTAGCTGCCCCACTGCCCTTCAGACAGATCCAGCCCAGCAGAGGGCATGTTGCCCCAGGGCTGGAGCGGGGGGGGGGGGGGGACAAAGGTGGTCAAGCTGACAGTGAATCCGGAAGGCTAGGGGTGGGGAAGTGCCCTCCACCGACCACACCCATCTCGGTGTACACTCCCTCGCCCCAACCTCCTGCGGTGTTTGCAGAGCGTTGGTAGCAAGCGAGGGAGAACTGGGGAAGGGCTGCTTGGTAAGCATTCTCCACCCTGCCCTCACCCCAAAAGTGAGTCTGAAAGGGGACACATCTGTTCTCCCCAGGCTCAGGAGCCTATGTGGCCAGAGCAGAGCCCATACCCCCCATGCTTCGGACCCCCTGTCTGCGCGCCACTTGGTTCTAAGTTGGTTTGGGCTGAGCAGCCAACACAGCTCTGTGCAGTGTATCCGCGCGTCTTTGCGGTGCTGCTTCTCTGCCTGCTTGGTGCCTCTCTGCGTGTTTGCCCAGCTCACGTGCACGGTCTGCCGTGCGTCCCTCCGCGTGTGCGGCTAAGTGTGTCCGCTGTCGGGTCGATGGCGCGTTTGGGTCCCATAGATGGGGTGCTGGGAACTAGCGTGTGCGTTGTGTGCTCCGTGTCTGTGCCATCCACGGCGCGGGCGGGGTGCAGAGCGCCGGCGTTGCGCGAGTCCCCCCTGGCCGTCGCGTCTGCGTCTGC